GGATCGGCCGCGTATGGATATGTATCTCCATTCTCGGTGATGTCCATGAACTTGACCCCATTCTGTTGCCCTTCGAGTCAGCGGTGTGTCCGTTTGCCTGGGACACAGGGCTAGGCATAGACATACTCTCTTAAGCTCCCATTTCTCCTCCTCCGACACCCATCTCGTCTCACCGGGGCTCAATTCAATCAAAGCACGGTCTTGAATGGCAGACTGTCCATCTTGAGGAATAATTGCTTGCTGAGGGCCAGTGTCGATAGAACGAGCCGAGACGGAAGCGGCGAGCGAGATGACCAGAAGCGCGAGGGACTTCATGACAATATCACACGAAGGGAAAATGAAAAAATCCGATCTCCCCAGCACCGAAATCGATTCAAAAAAGGTGTTGGTGTACGGAGTGGTATGGGATGAATGGAAACGGTATCTGGTGTTGGAGACGCAGGCACCAGAGAATTGAATAGCCTACTAGGTACCCAGTAGACTGCAGGTGGTTGAGATCCCCCTTAGCGACCGGGCCAAACTTGACGACCGTAGGCTACGGTGGCACCCCGTGATAGGCCTAGGGAGAGAATGGTTGAGAGGTGTCCCTCCCAAACAAATAGGGACTCCAAGGACCCCATGCACCACTTTGCGCCCCAGCGGTCAGCTCCTCATCGCCATACCGACTACTCGTCTACTGTAGAAATGAATTTCTTCACAATGAACCGTTTTGCGCCTTTCTGGTCAACGAGGAACGTACTCGAGTCACCACGATATATAGGTCTTTGTAGACTATCCGACCACGGCCTGATCAAAGACAATATATCGATGTGTCACTTGTCCATCTTTTGACTCATGTTGAATCCCACGGTGCTAGAGGCTGGTCTGTAATTCGTCCGTGGCCGAGGCTCTCTACTCGCTAGTAGCTTTGGGAATATCCGCGTCACCAACTGCAATTGCGGGCGCAAGTAGTTCGACTACCTACTTACGGAATGCAGGAGGCCATCCTTTCCCGACTGAGCCTCAACCGCGCACCCTTCAAGAGATAGCTTTCTCGCACATCCTGCCCCTTCGCTTCTTCCATCAAAGATTCATTGAACAGTTGACTCAAGGTCCCCGTCTCCGCAGTTCCCAGATCGCTGCCCCCTTGAACTGTCTTCTCTCTGTCCGGCCGTCACTTCGCCACTCTCAAGAACTTGGGACGTCGCATCGATCGGTTATCATCACCCATGGCTATCGCCCCGATAATGTCGACCCCCGAGGCCGTCGCTCCTGTCGCTTCGCAAAGCACCGAAGAGGTGACTGCTCGGATGAACAACATCTCCATTGACCCCGCGACAACGCCCGAGCGGACTCGTGTCGCTAGCACTTCAGTGCGCATCATGGTTCCTATTGATGGGACTTCGAGAACGGCTGTTGTCGCTCAGTCGGGGGTACACCCCGATCGAAAGGTCGTGCGTCGTGATAGCACGGACCGTCGCGAAGCCCTGCTCAAGGGCAAGGAGGGTTCGCGGCAGCGACGGCGATGGGAAAATGGTACTCCTACATCTACCCAGAGACGACTGTTTGGTGACTAAATAAAATCTGACGAATAGATCGCCTTCTGTCAAACCCTTGGGCTGTCCCTCCCCTCCCCTCTGACTGGGAAGTTCGTCCCACCTATCCTCGTCGAACCGTCCCTTACTATCTCGCTCCCCTGTGGGATGCCGCCGAGTTTCAGCGGACTGTCGAATCCAAGCTCAGGGGTAGCCGGAACAGCATTCGGTCCCACGGAAGACGCGTGCAGAACACCGGCATGAGTCCCATGGAAGAAGCGGCCACCAGCATCCCGAAGGAAGTGCGAGCCAAGCTCAAGCGGGCCAAAGCCGCCAAGGGATTGCTTCAGGACCTGGAGGAGACGGTCCGAGCATTCGTGCGCAAGTGGAATGAAAGAGAAATCCGTCTAAGAAGAGATGGTCTGCATGACATTCCTCTGACTAGCGACAGTGAGGACGAGGAAATTGTTTTCATAGGCAGAAATGGTGCTATGCACGATTCACCTGGCAAGGGGCAGAGGGACAGGGGTGAAATGGAATGGGACGAGGATGGCACCATCGGCACTGAGAAAATGGTCTTCGAGGGTCTGGATAAAGATAAGGGTGCCGCCTTTGCGAGGTGGCTGGTGCATTGCGTGGGCAGCTACTATGGCTTGCGAACTTGGAGTGTGACGCGTGACATCGAGGGTGAGGAGAAGAGAAGGCAAGCCTATGTGGGCGTGGACAGTCGAGCAAGAGGATTTCTGGGCCGAGGCGTCGAAGTCGGTCGCGAAATCGAACTTCCACGGCCATTATGGGGGATGGTGTGAAGATGATCCCAACTCCTGTCCGTGAGGGTCGAGGCGTCGTTCTCGAACTCGCTGATCTGTAAACACTCGTCCGAGTTGATGGGCAAGGAAATCTTCTATTGGTTGATTGTAGAACATTAGACAATCTAATTGCAACAGAAATTTCGTGATTCGTGCGTTGCTTCTTTTTCCTAGATGTTTCGTGATGGACATTGCAGCGCTCTAGCTGGATGTTGGTCAGGGCCCTTCGTGCTCGGCTCTGCGTGGAGCATATCGACGAACTGGTGGAGCTGAGTTGGGTTACGCAGCCAAACACAACTACGCACCATATCGCAACGAATAGTAGAAATTCCTGACAGTCATTGATAAAGCAAGCCCGTTCGGGACCAATGAAATTAAAGAAAAACTCGAAATCCCCGAAGATCCAGTAATGTCCGCGTTCTTGACGAGAATGTGAGACGGACACAAGCCGAACTAGGACCAGTGCACAGTTCCGGCAAGGTGTACAGAGTAAGTTGTCATCTAATTGAAAGTTAGCAAGATTGCGAACATGGTCCGACATGAGCTGGGACTGAGGAAGGCATGCAATGGCTGCCTTTATTGCATGAACGTGCTCAAGCACGAATTCAGGCATGGCATATACCGTGACAGCGAGTCGACGGGAAGCCGAACGGCCATTGTGGCGATACTGTGCCATGAATCTCCCGCGACAGAAACGGCCGTGAGATGGAGAACACCTGGCACCTACGACGCCACGTAGAACCGAAGATGGAGATCTCAAGTGGCCCCGTTCTGCCCGTTCCGGGCCCCGCTTAGGCTGTAAAGTTCATGCGAGCCGTCAAGCACGAAGCTCACAGTTTGCATCGGAGCGCAGACGGTAGCCCCGGACGGGACTTGGAGCCCGCAGCCTTCCAGGACCAGGTTTCAGGAACTCTGATCAACCACAACGCTCAGTGGCCAATGTTTCTCAGAATTGAGTAGTCAGGTACGTGCGAACGCTATGGCTCGAAAACAACAATAGAAGCAAGTTGGGCATGAACTATGGCTCATGGCGATTTTGCGGGTCGAGCCGTTGCTAGTGGTGGATGATCAAAACAATGCAACCTACCGTTATTTCTCCTCATTTCGAGAGTGGTTGCATGACTTTTCTCCAGATTTGTCCTAAAATGCCTCACACCCGATGATTATGATATTGTTGCCTGACTCAGACTCGCCCTGAGCACACGTGCTCGCAACGAAGAATAGAAGAGGACCCTTGGCTGAAGCTCAACTCGGTGATGCTTTGAGATGCAGGATGACAGACCCAATGCTTGAAAATGAAGCGAGACATGGCTGCCCAAAGGTGGCATTGTCGGCATGATGAAAGGATCAAGGTTACTCAGCTGCAGCATCCGGGACGAAGAATATGGACCTTTTTGGTGGTATAGAGGCACAAAGGTACAGCTTCTGGCAGTGAACACATGTTCATGTTCGCTCTTGAGCTTCCAAAACGATTTGAGGGCTCTCCAAATATGGCACGGGCATGCATAGCAGCCAAGATTGAAGCAACGTATTGAAACGCAAAGCAGGTGACATGGCGAGGTTCAGTACCAATGAAGTGGTGCCACATATTTGCCGCAGACTAAGTTAGCAAGGAAGGAAGCAGTTCATCAGAGCTTCGGCAAAGGTTGAATTAAGGCACTCCGCTAACCCCAATCCAGTCTAGCGACCTCGGCATTGTCCCGCCAGACCCGGTCATCGGATTTTCACCTTTTCTCTTTGACGTGGCGCATGGGCTTTGCACTATCACCTGCTTGACGCGGTCAACACAGTGAAGCATTCGGTCTGACAGATATTAGATTTCTTATTTGCAGGGCCGGATCCCCGTCATCCTGTCACCTGCTCGTTTTCACAGCCACGTCTGACAGCAGCCAACACGTCGATTTTCACTCCGTCCCTCACATGTGTCCATTTTTTGCCATCCCACCACGAGATCCAACCATCCTCCAACTACCTGTGGTCCTTTTCTCCGTCCGACGTCCTCGCCACCATTGGCATTGCACTGTTTTTGTCCACGTCTTCTCTGCGATTTGCCTCCCACGCCACGGAGAACGAATGCTGGCTCGACCCTGAACGGGTCTTGTCCGGGTCACTGTTAACCCGTACGGGTCGGTTATTGGAGTGTGGTTGAAGGTTGTTCGCTAAGCAGGATCACTAAGATGCCTAGGTATCTTAGGTGAACATTATCGTGTCTCAGCAAATCCGGGTGCAAAGTGTTTCCAGAAGAAAACTGGTATTCTGCGGCAGCTCCCGGCCACACCCGCCATATTGCTCTTCTGGCTTGTCTCCCACTCCGCTCTCACAGATCCTCCGTAGTACGATTGCTGCCGCGCCATCACCTGCGCCTGTCCTTCCTCGTGCAAAATGGCCGGGAGAGGTTGACATCGTCCTTGTCTGCCTGTGGGGTGATCTGGTCACTCAAGTCTGTTTGCTTTTGGGGGATTGTCACCAATAACCGCAATGGTCTCGCTTTCTTTTGATATGCCGCTGGTGTCACTACCTCTGGTTCTTTCCATTGCCGTGTCTTCATTACCTCGCCTCTCTCTGAAATATCTCTCTGTCATCAAGACCTAGAAATCGCATTCCCATTTCATTATAGACCAGCAACCCTGTCCTACTTCACAACAACACCTGAGTATCCCCCATCTGTTTCAATATCATGCCACGACGTACCCCAGGTCGGATCTGGTCGAAAGGATCTGCTACTTCTCAGAGCTCCACCTCGACCCGCAGCGACCAGTCCAGCCATTCGAGCCTCTCTAGCCACACTCAATATACCAACCTCACGTCTTGTAGCGACACCAAACCTATTGTCAAGCATTACCACAACTATGAGGAGCGTGAGATTGTTGATGGGCCCATGGTTCATCCGGCTGAACATGAACAAGACCCTCGAGCATCAACCGAAACATATACCTCAACAATTGCTTCTGATATTGATGATGCATCGTCGAGACCTCCAAGCCTATGTCCATTGATGAGACATATATGCTATAAGCCTGATGCGATCGCCACGACCCCCATCGAATTCGGAGAGCTGTTTCCATCCACGAGAAGAATACTTATCCAACACGATGACACCACTCCGGACGGAAATTTGAATCTTCGGGTTGATACTGAGTTGAGCATCGCCAAAGGACACAAGCTGAAGTTGACTCTTTTCCACCTTCGCATGTACGATCTCGCCGAACGGCAGTTCTCGCTTCGTCGATATCAGCGGCAATCGGGTCGGGAAGTCTGCAACTCGAAAAGAAAGTATCTGAAGCCGGTGGCCAAACAATCATCTTCATCACCCTCACCCAGACGACTATCATTCACCTCGACTCTCGCCAAGATCAATCTCAAAACGCTGAAGAGTAAGCCTCGGACGAAGCCAGCTCAAGAGATTCGAGACGAGGAGTCGGACGACGACTTCAGTTCTTTCGCAGCACAAGTCGACGTCAAGGCCACTATTCCCACCGATACTATCAGAATCGAGTTCTCCAACTATGCTCAGGTCGAACTGGAGCGTAGTAAGACAGGAGACAGCAAGTACGAGTTTGAGTATTGGGGCGAACGGTATTCTTGGAGACGGAATATCTATCGGGATGAATCAGAGCTGGTCTTCTCTTTTGAGCTGATTGCTGCGTCTTCGGGGGTGTGCGTTGCTCATATTACTCCTGACAAGTTGTCTCAGAGACAGAGCAGGCAAGAAGCGGCCCTGGGGGGTTGGGTACCACCGTGCAGTCTGCGGCTCACGGAGAAACAGGTCTCGAATGACTTGGGAGACGTGATTATGGCGACCGGACTCATGAGCCTTGTGGATGATTGCATCAAGAGACACTGGCATGAACCACACCGCTCTTGACCCATAAAATAGCGATCAATATCAGATCGCACTTTGTGGACTTGTCTTTTCTCGCCCTTGAACCTTTTTTCCCAGTCTGGACACGAACGCGGGAATGGATTTCCCATTGCAGAGGCGTTACACAGAGCTACTGGCGGTGTGGGATGCATCGCGAAGATGAGATGCAAAGGGCATTAGTGATGGACTCGTGAGGAGTTGTCAGGCTGGAATCCGTCACATTACTTGTACAGATTTTGCATTGGGCCAGCTTATGGCAGAGGATCAATCGGGACAGGAATGTCTGGACAAATTTGGGCTGATCAGCGATCGGGACAAGGCTTGGACAACGTAAATTAGGGGCGTGCAGGACACGACATGGCAAGAATGGATGGACCCATTATGCATGACTCGTGTTCCACAGGATGAAAGGCTCTGGAAATGTATAGCTAAACAGACGACTTGACACGAGTATCATTGGAACTGTGTCCATGCTCCCGTGGGGGGAATCTGTACATATGAAAGGCACAGTTGCCTCTACTCAGACTTAGCAAGGGGGCTTACTGCGCATTCACTGGGGTTTTTTTTAGGCAGCTTTCAATGATATGGGAGTTGTACTTGCACGGAGGACCTTGGTACCTACCGAGCTACATACTTGGAGGTACCTACAGTAGTATTCTACTCGGAACTTGTATAGCACAGATCTAGGCCTCATTTAGACTTAGCGGCTTGGCTCACATCATTCGCCACTGTGATTGGTCCAGACGCCCCTGCTCACCGAATACTTTCCCACGTCGGGCTTGGTCTTCCCCATTTGTCCCCATTTGTCCCCATTTGTGGCCACTCCACCAGACTCTGTTTTTTGTTCCTCTTCTGCATTTTGCTCCAACCATCATCCCTCCATCTGGTGCCATCATCCTAGACAACATACTACTGCTGCACAGCTCTCAAAACTCTTGCCACGCTCGACGGCTCAATGCCGCGTTCCTTTTCGATTGCACACTGCTGCTCACTGCAGGCCTAAGCTCCCCAGCCTCCCGCTGTCAGTCACAGGTCCCAGTAGCAGGGATCTCGCCTGCCCTTTGTCCTCTTTTCTCTCTCCCTCTCTCGTGTCCCCTGTTTCCTCTTTGGTCTAAAATAATTGGACACCGACCCTCAATGTCCCTTGCACTCCGGGGTTGTTACTAGAGATTGCGTTACTCTCCACCGGCTAATTGATCCTTATTATCAAATTGTTTCCCGCATTCTTGCCTCTGGCCTCCGGTCCGGCTTCTCCTGGCAAATGTACACATTGACTTCCATCTTACGCCACTATACCCAATCTCACGTTGCAAGCACTCGCCTTTCTGGGCCAGTTCGGTTCAACTCGAGACGTGGATCGATCTCATGCGTGCTCTGACACATACTCACCCCCCGTACAGCTCAGATTGCTGCCCAAATGCAAAATTATCCCCGAAAGCATTGAAGGCGACCAATAAGGAAACCAGCCCTGATTTTCGACGTACTCCGGATGCAGCAAGGCAAGAGGGAAATTTTCAATCCTTGCTCGGAAGCTCCCTCACTGCTTCCAAAATCTCCACGACCATCGCGTCGGATTGATGTGGACATATCACCGATGGAAACAGTTTGTTCTTTTTTTCGGCCGCTATCTTGCATTCGATCGGTCGGCAGCCAAGTGTGCCGCCCCCACTTCGATATTGCCATCCGACATTTGATGGTTTCCCTCTAGCCTTTCGCGGACTCATCCCCCCTTCCTCTGATTGTCACATAGTCTTCCTTTCTACGCCATCATGCATATCATCGCTTGCGCTTGGGGCCGGACCTTTCGTCCCACTACTGTACGCTGCCGGATACCTGATGTGTTGGCAGCATCTCTCTGGTGAGGCTGTTGGCTCTGTTTTTTTTTTGCTTTGCGTTCTTCCATCCCATCCTCTACCCACGTTTGACATCTCACGTCTCTGCAGTCTCGCACCTTGTACCACGAAGTTCTTCATAGATGATGCCAGGGCCGCTGGTCCATCGATACAAAAGTGTCACGAGATCTCAGATCATGTCGCACAGAGCCAACCTATGTTCAGTTGTTTTCAATGCTGCCCTACCTTGAAATGAAGCGGCCTTGATAGACAAAGAACCTGTCGTGGAAACGAAATACTGGAGCACCTGCAGCTACCCTTCCCTGATTTTGGCTCTCGCTCTGTCACTTTGCTTTGCGTCCTTAGCTGAGCATTCGAGCTTCCCCGGGTTTTCAATATAAAGTCCTCAGATATCTGTGGTCACGCAGGGTGGTTTCTGTCATCATCTCACTCCATTCCTTCCTCGTCGACACGACCAAATATCCTCCATAAAGACATAAAGTTGTCGATTGAAAGCTTTCCGCAACCAGCCAAAAACTTGACTACTTTCCGCTACCAAGAATGGCTACCAAAACCCACAAGACCTGGCAGGAAGAGCTTGCTGGTAAGCCTCGTACCTTCGTGGGTACTTGTTCTTCAGCTAACCTGTTGGCAGCTGAATGCCGGAAACTGAGACTGCCTGCTCCCCAATTCAATATAGTCTCTGATCGTCGAGGTGAGTTCCATATTGGGATAGCTCGTTTTCCGACTCTTCGAGCAGGATTTGCTCAATATTGTTCCCAGGCTGATCTATTGCGATTGATTTCTAGGTGGGCGGACTGCTTGGTCTGCTACAGTCACAATTCAGGGCCAGAATCTCGCAGCAAGATACTGGTACGATGGGCAATACCTTAATAATGCCAAAGAAGACGCGGCCGAGGTAGCTTGCACCAAACTACGCAACCCTTCAATCACCGCCGGCCAGTCAACGGTCTACCGCGCACAGTCTGGCTATGGTGGGCCCTGGGCTGCTCGCTGAGTCTCGTGCTGCGACATGTGTTGGACTGCAATACAGTGCTTCCAACCGGGTACAAAGCCATGGGCAGGTTTCCAAGTCGAATTTCCGGAGGGGTAATTATCTCAATACCTGCTGTATCCAATGGGGCAAAATAAGGGTTTCGAATGAGAGCATAGCGATGGCGTTATGGTGACACACAGACTCAGGACAGCAAGGGGGTTAGGAGGGTCCTTTTTTTCTTTTTGGGATTGGATTTTCTTTCTCCTTTGTCTCCGTTGATCTCTTGTTTCTCAGAACAAAACAACCCCCCAAGATTCCAAGAGAGATTAGAACCAGTCTGTCCTCTTGTCCAGGCTCCAAGCTGTCTGTCAGAGGGAGAGGTCTCAGTCCTCAGTCAAATTTTCTTGACCGCTTTTCAGGGTTGATAGAAGAAAATGCAGGAATCTATGATATCTCATGCTTGCCTATGTTTCGATTCTGGCTGTGCCTTATCCTGCGCAGGTGTCCGATTCGCGCGCTGGATAGAATGCTCTTTTCTGTTCACCAGCTCATCATGTCATGCGCGTCGTATCGTGTCTTTTTCGTGTGGAGCCCGGAGGATGTAATCTTGCAGCATGGGGCAAAATGTCTGTATACCGTGACCTGTCGTGCTACAGTCGATGAATGATTTGGAGACCTTCAGCGATGTCCACGCATGACCCGACGCTCTGGATGTCGAATCAAGGCGGGGGGGCTGCTGTTCTAGAGGGTGGGAAAGAGGAAAGGAACGAAGGCGTGGCCCTGGCTGAGGAAAAAGTTCCGGGCCGCAACTCGTTCTCCGTTTGCTCCGTCCGCCTCCCAAATTCTGTTTTCACTTCATCGTCACCCACTCTCCAGCAAAGCGATATTCCTCTGTGCTACGCGGCATCGATGACCTGTCAAGTACCCGGCAAGCAAAGTTGACGTGTTGGAGTACATCCCCGTGCCACCTGAATCGGCGGACGAGTGCATTTCCCATTGCCTCATTTCATATATGCACTGGGCCCGTCAAGTAACCAAACCACGTCTTGACATCTTCACCGCCGCAAAGCGGGCAATTACCGCCATTCCCTATGCATTCGGACCAGTCGCCGCCATGTCGACCGCTACAAAGCCCTCAGCGTTGACCTTCGATCTCAAAGCCCGTTGTTCGGTACGCAGCCACTACTCTCCATCCATCCCTCTGCTGCAAGACCCCTTCCCGCGATTGACAAATTTCCTTTATTTCTCCAGACATCCAAGGCCCGTGCCTCGACTCTGCATTTGCCTCATGGCCCGGTGGACCTTCCTATATTCATGCCAGTGGCCACCCAGGCGTCTCTCAAAGGCCTGACTCCCGAACAATTGGAAGAGACGGGTTGCAGACTGTGCCTGAACAATACATACCACCTGGGTTTGAAGCCTGGTCAAGCGGTTCTGGACACCATCGGCGGAGCCCATAAATTACAAGGATGGAACCACAATATCCTAACTGATAGCGGCGGGTTGGTGGTGCACAGCACCCTCTCTGGCCGCGGATGAGTGACTGATTCGAGGCATCTCAAGTTTTCAAATGGTTTCGTTGCTCAAGTTGGCGAAGATCACGGAGGAAGGCGTACGATTCCTCAGCCCCCATGATGGCAGTCCAATGTACGTGATGGCTCCGATCGAACACCACCTATGAGGTTAGAAACTCATGTCATGCACAGGCTCCTTACTCCCGAGCATTCCATGTCTCTTCAGAACTCGATTGGCTCAGATATCATGATGCAGCTCGACGATGTCATTCAGACGACATCACCTGATCATGCCCGTATGAAGGAGGCCATGGAACGGTCCATCCGCTGGCTCGACAGATGCATCGCCGCACACAAGAATCCCGAAACGCAGAACCTCTTTTGCATCATCCAGGGCGGTCTCGATCTGGAAATGAGACGACAGTGCTGCGAAGAAATGGTCAACAGGGACACGCCAGGCATAGCTATTGGTGGCCTATCTGGCGGAGAAGCAAAGGCGGATTTTTGCAAAGTGTATAGTGGCTCTCACCTCCATCAAACGTCTATCTTGAAATATCTGAACGCTCACTCTATGGACAGTGTTGATGCATGCACCGATTTACTACCCGAGAATAAGCCAAGATATGTCATGGGCATTGTACGGTATCTGTTTCCAGTACTGGCGGTGGACAAGCACTGACCTCTACAGGGTTATCCAGAAGACATAGTCGTCGCGGTAGCTCTCGGAGCGGATATGTTTGATTGTGTATGGCCGACGAGAACGGCGGTGAGCTTTCAATATCTTCAGTCGTATCTTCCCCGACCGCTACCGTTCTGACCGATGGATACTGTGTAGCGCTTCGGCAATGCGATCACTTCTAGCGGCGTCTTGAACCTAAAAAATGCTCGGTATGCTGAGGACTTCGGCCCCGTCGAGCAAGGATGTACCTGCACTTGCTGTCGGCCGAAAGAGGATGGCGGTCTTGCCATCACCAGAGCGTATATATACCATCTTGCGGCTAAGGAGACTGTTGGGGCTCACCTGTATGTTTTCATCTCTCATCTCGTCTTGTTTACTTTCCGGCCGTGATTCCTGGTTTTGTCTAAGATATCCTCTGGATCAACTGATTAACTCGGTGCGTTTTACAGATTGACAATGCATAATGTGCATCACCTGCTTTCACTAATGCGGCGAATCAGAACGGCCATCATGGAAGACCGGTATCCTGCATTCTGCAAACAATTCTTTGAAAAGTACTTTGACGGACAACCTCCACCGGAGTGGGCTGTCGATGCTCTTAAGGGAGTGGGGATTGAGATATAATTAATCACACCGCGCACCCTATGTCGTTGGGACTGACTGGGACTGTCAGGACGATGGCAGCGCGGCTGGACTTTGGGTTCCGGCGTCGGTAGGGTGCGCCTTGATTTCGGTCTCACTGCATCCCTCATTCCAGACTTAGCATGGTCCTTTCTGAGCAGGAAACGCCCAAGGCGCGTTCAAGGCCATTTCTATTCTATGTGGGCCAATCTGCGAGATGATGACAATGATCATGCTCGGTTCAGGTCACTTTGGTATGTAGTCGGCGACAAAAAGAAAGCCAGAAAATCCGTCTTAGTATCGTCAAAATCTTGCGGTCTGCGAGATCCCTCCATCCCGTAAATTTCTATCGGTAATTTGTCGTAGTGTTCCCAAAATGTGCGGTCATAGACACCGCCCACCAACAGTCAAACTGTGACAATAACCCAATTTCAACGACAATTCAGATCCTCGATTGTTCAACGAGCCTTCCTTTGTCGTTGACCTGGACCTGGGCCTTTTTTTCGAGCTCCCTTTGGAAGCTCCCGTCCAGGGCCGTGACAAGGGCATAGATGGCCCTGAGCAGGGGCGTCTGCACGCCTCTTTCCTCAGCCAACCGGACGGCGTTGCCGACGATGGCATCGACCTCCATCCTCGCGCCGACCTTTGCGTCGGCGAGCATGGAGGGTTCGACGCCAGGCAGCTCCCTGACCTTGGCGCGGTTGATTTGGTACGCGACAGTGTCAGCGTTGATGTTGTCGTAGCCGAGCGACTGGGCGATGGACGCGATCTCGGTCATGAGCGACCTGATCAGACCTAGTGAGTACTCTGGTGGGGAGGACTTGAGGAACTGGGCGTCGCGCGACCGCGAGAGTGCGCACACCGGGTTCCAGCTCGCGTTGACCATGAGCTTGCTCCAGCGCTGCGGTTGCACGTCCTCGTGCAGTTCCGTGCTGCCTCCTCCCGCGTTGAGGAGGCGGGCGAACGATTCGGCCGCGGATTGGTGCGCCCGTGGCGCATCGGAGGGGTACGTGCCAATGTGCAAGAGTTCAATCTCGCGGTGGGCGATCACGGCGGGAGCGGTCTGGGTGGCGGGGAGGTACACCACGCAGCTCAGCAAGGGGTTGTCTGGATAGAGGGTTCGGTAAGGTTCTTCGATGGCGATGCCATTCTGAATGAGGGCGATAGTCGTGTGAGGTGCGATGGCCGGGCGGAGCTGTTCCGGCATCGATGGTGTCGTGTGTATGGCCTTCGCCGTGACAACGATGTAGTCGAATGGTTTTCCCCCGGAGAGCGAGACGGCTTCGTCCACGGTCCGCACCACCTGGGGTTTAAAGTTGAGGCCTTCCCCAAAGATGGTCGAGTTGATGGTGAAGCCTGCTGTCGAGGCGACCGCATGGTTCGAACGGCATACTGTGTAGAGGTTGGCTGGGCCGACGGCACGGAAGAGTATCCAGGCGTAGACGGCGCCGACGCTGCCGGTGCCGAAGACGAGGACCTGCGGAGGAGAAACTGGAGGGGGAGACATGGCTGTGCTGGGCAGAACGCGTTAATGGGGGATGTGTATGATGAGCGGCTTTTTCTGCTTGCGCAAGAGACTGGTATTCCGCTGGGGGAGTGATACATAAGAATTGAGATATCACCGGTTATGAGCGAGGGATGGGTGTGGAGATATCGGCATACGTCCCGATGGATGATGGATGCGATCATCTCATATCCAATGGGATAGCTTTGAGTTATTTCCGAGCGGGTGAGGAGAACTTGGGCAGGACGAGAAATTATGGAATCATTGTGTCTGTCTCTCTGGAGCAAAAGGCGGAAGAAAAAGAAAAGAAATATGACTGCCTACCTTTTCATCGTTCGCTGCAATACACAGCCCGACCTCGCAGTCTCGGTGGAGCAACGCTGGACAGCGCTCAGGCGACCAGTTCTTCGAACGGGGACAGCAACTGTCTGGCAGGAAGGTAATGCAGACGGTTTTCTTGTGTAAATATATCGATGTTGATGATAAGTGATACAGAATCGAGTACCGGTACCGCCAGGATATGGCAGTCGTGGTAACGGCCTTGATATGCCTAAGACCAGGCGCCACCAACCGCAGCCCTGGAGAGACGGTCTCATATTTGGCATGAGGCCTTGTGATGTTGCATTTCGGCCCCAATGATAAAAAAGAGTGGTAGGGGACTGTGTGCGGTGAGGACGACGAGTACAACGAAGAAAAGAAGACGTTGCACTCTTCTGCGCTGGCTGTAGAAGATGTCGAAGGCTGAGGATACGTCTTCATCCATCTTGCATCGGATGAGGGAACCCAACGGCGGAGCAGATGCCGCGCACGCGACGTGCAGCCGACGACGCGACTCAGGCGACCACAGGCACAAAAAAGGGGCAGCAGGGGGTCGTCAGGGTCGCCAGGGTCAGCCAAATGACGTTGTGCATGCCCCCAGAGGCTGAAATCCCACCGGTGCCACTTCCCAGGATGGGAGAGCCGCTTTCCTTTTACCATTACCGAATAGTATTTGGTCCATCCAGACCCAAACCCAGTACCCAGTACCCGGTACATACAATCAAGAGGAGGAGTCGACCACCTACACCACAACATTCCTCCAAGAAAGGCACTGCCATGGATCCCGATATACCTACGCCCTCGATTGAGCACGATGCCCTCCAAGGTGCCACCAACACCCGCGCCTTCACCACAACAACCCCAGGTCTCGTGTCACCCTCGATCCGAGTGAATCATCAAGACCAAGACCACAACCACACCCATGCGCACCCTGCCTTGCTGGGTGCGGCCGCGCAAATCCCCCTCCCTCCCTCTTCACCCATGCGCAGTCCCTACCACACCCCTGCGACCTCCAAGACCAAGTCTCTCTCGCCGAAGCCGCCCTCGCGCTCTCCATCTGTCGCGAGTTCGTATCGAGGCGAGAGACAAGAGAGACAGTCCACGCCGACACTGGCCACCAGGAGATCAACCTCCAGCCTGAGCAACACAAGGGGCAGCACGCCTCAATACCGTCGTACGTCCTCCAATCTCAACCCTCTGTATCCTGCGGCAAATGGCAAGATGTCCCTTCCAGAACGCCCGCCCGTCACGGCCAGTTCGGTCGCGAACGAGTTCTTTGGAAAAGAGCTAGAAGCCCATATCTCTCTACAATCCCCTGTTGTGGTCATCGTCCACGATTCATGCTATGGCCATCGCTTTTCCCGCCCGCGCACCTCCAAGAATGCCCTGGCCACAATTGTCGAGCGGCCGGAAAGAATCCACGCCACGTTGCTGGGCGCATCTGCTGCCTATGTGCGCCTGGGAGGGCGACACGCCGATGGCGAATATGCGCCTTGCCCAAAGCACCACCCATCTCGCGTGTGCAACATCCCCTTCCAGATCCGCAAAACTACTCGAAGCATCTCCCTCACCCACCCTTCGGTCACTTTCGTCCACGGTCCAAAGTGGATGGAAGAGTTGCAAGTCATGTGCGACACCGCCGAAGGGAAATTGACCCTTAACGGAAAAGAGCTGGTGAGACCGATCGGGTATGGGAAGGACGAGAATGGAACTCCCCTCCCCAAGTTGCATGAAGGCGACTTGTACTTGTGTGCAGAATCGCTGGCCGCTTTCCAGGGTTGCCTCGGGGGGGTCTGTGATGCAGTGGACACCATCTTCTCTTCACCACAAACTAGGCGAGCCTTTGTCTGTATTCGACCCCCGGGCCATCACTGCTCGTCCAATTACCCATCGGGTTTCTGCTGGCTGAACAATGTTCACGTGGGAATTGCCTATGCCGCTATGAATCACGGCCTGACGCATGCCGCTATCATCGATTTTGACCTACATCACGGAGACGGTTCCCAGAATATTGCTTGGGACCACAACCGAAAGGCACAAGGTGCGGCTAAGAATGCTGCAGCACACAAGAAGACACCTATTGCCTATTACAGCCTCCATGACATCAACTCCTATCCCTGTGAGTGGGGCGACGAAGAAAAGGTGCGAAATGCCAGCTTGTGTATTGAAAACGCTCACGGTCAGTCAATTTGGAATGTCCACCTGGAGCCTTGGAAGAGCCACGAAGAGTTCTGGAAATTGTACGAGTCCAAGTATATTATACTGCTTGACAAGGCGAGGACATTCTTGCGACACCACACGGCAAGATTACGCGCTTCCGGAAACCAGTCACCCAAGGCCGCCATCTTCATCTCCGCGGGTTTTGATGCCAGCGAATGGGAAGGTGCAGGCATGCAGAGACACAGTGTCAATGTCCCAACAGAATTCTACGCACGTTTCACGGCTGACATTGTTCGACTGGCGCACGAAGATGATCTCGGTGTGGATGGGCGAATTGTCAGCGTTCTGGAGGGTGGATACAGTGATCGCGCTCTGACTTCAGGTGTGCTAAGCCATATCTGTGGCATGGCTGGTGATAACCCTAGCTCAAACGGACAACATTCGTCGGAGACCCAGGACAACAGATTTCAAACGATCAACAACTGGGTACAAGATATACCTTCCTCTGCGGCTCGGCATCATTTTACCTATGCGGCGGATTGGTGGGCACTTCAAAACCTAGAAGAGCTCGAAGCTGTCGTCGCGGGTCGACAACCTCCAGCTTCAAGGGCGAAAGATAAGACCGGAAACTACTCGTCACCTACACAAGCGTCTACCCTCAAGATGACCGACCATGCTCGCGAGAAGCGGTCATTCTCAGCGTTGCACGCCAGACTCTCTCTAGAAGCTGGATATGAGCCTCCGCCGCCTGACGTCGACTGGGCCATAGCTTCGTACGAGCTCTCTCGTGTCATTATCCCCAGCGATCGCCAGACTTTGAGTTGTACCCATGAGGACCTCAACGCAGAAGCCACCAAAGGTCGACGAGAGCGGCAATCAACTGTCGGCTTACCCCCTGGTCCAGACGAACGAATGCAACTGCGTGATCGAAAGGCGAAAGGGCCATCTGCTAGCCTCGCTGCTGTACGAGCAGTATCGCGGAACGGCAATCGGCGGACAACCATTGCAGCGGTTAGCGACTTGCCTGATCCGACCTTGCAGAATCCAGACTTGCCCGACGGGACAATGCGCCGAAGATCCAGTGATGCATCGAGCATCTTATCAAGTTTTCAAGGCATGAAGTTGACAGATCAGAGCGCCGTCGACACTGAATTTTTACCAAAGCCGCCAAATGGACAAGTATCTTCGAGGGCACCATCGACTGCTCCGGGAAAGCCTGCAAAAGCTGTTGCGGTTAAGAAGACCCGAGCACCACCCACCACTAAGGCACCGGCAAAACTAAAGACTAGCCCCCGGAGGCTGAAAACTATTCATTCAGCCGCTACTGGCTTGTCCGAGCCCAAAGCTTCTCCTACCCTTGCTCAGGGAAATACAGTCAAGAGAGAAGCACCTTCATCTTCCCAAGAGGGCCACAAAGAAGTGCCGAATACCGATGAAATAGACAATCTAACAAATGGGATGAAAAAGATTACGATCAAACTGAAAATGCCCACCGCAGAAGAGCATGCCGCTAAACAGAACCAAAAGCTGGTTGATGATAAACAGAAGAAGCCTCGCGCACCAAGGAAACCGCTAGTACCGAAGAATTTAAAGCCAACCAAAACAGCACCTGCCACCAATCCCGAGTATTCGGCCAATATGCAACCGAAGGTCGTGGAAGACGGCCCTCAGGAGCACTCTGAAACCTCGGCCGCAAGCATAGCCGGAATGAGAATCCCCAGTGCTGTTACCCACACTGTCGAAGCTGCTATTCCTAGCCCTAGCGTGGAATCTCCACCTGCCGACAAAGGCATGGACTTGCCTCTAACATACATGGCACCTCTGGAAGTCAACGGACAACAACAACCACAGGAATCAACAAAACCTGCGGCGATTGTGACTGTCCATGTATCCGACGCGCAAGCTCCAACATCTGATCTTGCCTTCGTTCTATCTCAACAGCCATCTTCTTGGCCTCTACAAACAACCACCAAATCTGCTTCATCGGGAGGGTCTTTGTCATCTGGAACGGACAACCCGGCCCAGAGAACAAAGCAGGACCTACCCGTATTTAGTTCAAGCTCACCTATTCCGTTTGCTGCCTCCACCGACAAAGAACCATACTCGCAGGCACTGAGCCATGAACAAGCTACGAACCAGCAAGCTTGAGTTTGGGATATTCGCACGGCGCCGCAGCAAAAGTGAGGATTGTGGAAGGACTTTTGGAGGAGGAATAAGTTCTCTATGCTGATTTCTTGGACTGGGATCAATCGGTGTGACCTCTGGATATGGAGCCCTTGAGGGGTTCAACCCGGTCCCTTGCCGGTCTTCCTCTTTCCTTTGTTCCTCTTTTGTTTGAGTTAGAGATACCCCATACAGCATTGGTTAGGAGCTTGGATATGTATTGGGGGGAAGTCACGGTTGTTTTCAGTGCTAGTCATAGATCTTGAAGTACGACCACCCATCCGGCATTGGAAAGAGCATGGGGGGATGGAGCTCGGCCAGCAGACTCAATTAGAGGAACGGTGCTCGTTGAATGAAGAAATAATGAGTTGCTTTCAAATCGATCTATTGATGCTCTGCCCTCCCGTAGGCCCCCTAACTCAAGTCGTAGACCAAAACACCACAAACTGATATCGTGAAGAAACACACGAATCTCGCATGACGTTAGCAAACAGCAAACCTGCAGACAAAATACTCCACATCCAATGCAATCCTTTCCTCAGCCGCCACTCACATAACCACACAGGCGTCCCTCTTCGTGCGGCCTTCCCTCTTACCCTCCGGCGCGTTCTCCCTCGCCTGCAACTTGTCACCATACTGCCACAAGAGGTCCCTCTGGTCTCTCTCGTTCAGCGAGGCAAACTTGGCCGTGCGCATGATTTCCTCGCGCGAGTGGCGGCCCGTCTGGATCATGCGCTCGACGTCGTCGCGTATGTCCCTGTAGGCGCGGCTGGCAGCTTGTTTCTGCCGGGTCGCTGCCTGTGATGCCTCGCCATAGCACGTGCTTGGGCTGTTGTGTGGCGCCTTGGCTTGCGTGGGCGAGATGCGGCGCGCGGAGGGATACGAGGGTTTGCGGCGTTTGGAGACGCCCGCACCGTCGTACAGGAGCGGAGATCTGTCGTTGCGTCGCCGCGTTGGGGAGGTGTTTGTTGGGATCCCTGGGATCAGGTTGGGAGGGATATCTGACATTTCGTACACATTGCCATAGCCATAGCCGCGCCCGTTGGTTGGGGAGTAGCCATAATCTGTTGTAGGACTCCTGCGCTGCTCGCTTGCAGCCGGCATGGCGATTTCCGACAAGTCCTGCGCGATATTGCCTAGCCGGCCAAACATTCTGGGCGTGTCGCTCGAATATGTGTTTCGGGAATTTCTCTGCCGCTTGATGACCTTGGTGGGGCTGGTGCCTGAATAGCGCTTCTGCGGCAGCGTTGTCGGATAGTTGGCGTACGGTGCGAACTCGGAGAAGTCATAGGCGTCCCCATCCTGTTGCTCACTTGTGGAGGAGGTGCCCTTTCGGGCTTTTGCGCGACGGGATACTGCTTGAGCTTGAGGTGGTAGCGCCACGGGAAGCATCGGCTGCTGAACGCTGCGTCCCAGCGGATGGATGTTATCTTCCGGATGAAAAGGGACGCCTCGACGGAGGCGCCGTACGCAATCATCGCAATTCCATGGCATTTGATGCCTGACAGCGTTGCCTATCTCTTTGTCGCATGCTCGGGTCGGGAGCGCGCAGCCGCCATCTCTTCTGGTGAAGTTGCCATTGTGGCCGCACTGGAAGACGGCCAGATCCCAGATACACATTTTTGCCGCTGATTGAGGTTGGAGGGGTCTTCTTTGAGACTTCTGTTGAAAATGCCGTGAAGTATATCACTGGTGTATATGAAGGTGTGGAAAGGGGAAGAAGACCCGGGTATGTTACGATGCAGAGAGTGAAAGGATGGCCATACAAAACCTTTCTTTGTTCCGAAAGTCCGCATGCGGACGATCTGGTCCTTGAAAAAGGAACCTCGGAGCAACCGAGAATAATGCAATGTCAATTGAGACATAGAGCTTGCATCGTCATGGCTCGCGCGCTGGAACAATTCTCATTCTTACCTTGCTTTCTACTGTGGTTGGCTAGATATTGGCTTGTGTTATGCTGTATGACTTTCGTAGAGAGACCAGAAGTGGCATCCATGCCCGTCCGGTGCTGGATCATGAGACCACAGACTTTCTTCATTAGTCGACAGTGAAGAGACTTGTTGTTGTATCAACCACTCCATGATCGGGGAAGAAACACAGCATGGGTGTGGTGGTGGGCGTTTTTATTTTAATCCAGAAGGCGACGAGGCTGAGGCGCTGTGCCAAGAAATATTACGCCAAGAGATATTGCGGTTGCCCCTCGAGACAGTTTGTAGCCTTCCGAATCGGGACACAGCTAGTGAGAGTACTATTATCGTCTGCCATCATCGCCATGGCCTAAACAGACCCAACCCCATTCGCTCAGCTTTCCTCCACATGACGAAGACTTCATCTGTGCTGCATGTACGCCCCTCGCGCCGACTGCATTGTTAACTGCGCATGGATTCATATTTGATCTGACCGCCATCTTCAACTGTTATCTCGAGTAAACAAACCTGCCTCTCGACGAGCGATGGAAGAACATCCATCTCTTACCCAAGTACCACCCAGCTATCCCGATGGACCTCCTTCTTATGCCAATGGTCCCGCCGATGAAGACATCATGAGTGTTCCCGGAAACAGCAGCACATCGCTTAGGCTGCTCCCGCAGGGTCAGGATGAATACAGATCGTATGTGACAAGCTCCGTTTCTTCTGCGCAATTCAATGGACCGCCTTCCCCCAGGCGTAAGCCGCTGCCAAATCCAAAGGTGTCGCACGTTTCATGGGAAGACTCTCCCACAGAGTCCGCCGTCCGAGGGGCCAGACTGCAATCACCACTGTCTTCATTGATCGCCGAAGCCGAGGGAAAGCTTCGACGCAGTCGTGAGACAACCGCCTTCATTGGCCGCGCGCCTACCCTCGAGGCTCCTGTGACCCTCAAAAAAAACTCCCAGACTGACCGAAGCCTCCCTAATAGACCATCTCCCTCCATGCGAGGTTCGCCGGAAAGATACCGACCTACGGCATCAACCGCGTACAGTTCAAGGCCTGGTTCCAGCCTAGGACGAGCCCCCTCGATACCTCCGCCTACGGCGAATCCTCGCTCACCCATCAGACCCTCCACCCCTTCTCGAGTATCTACCGACTGGGGCAGACCTGCTGCCTCGAGCGTCTCATACGAACCGGCAGATCTTAATGGCAGTCCACGGCCTGGCACACCATCGTCACAGTATGGCGGGAGTCCACGGAGACCGCTGCCTCCTGCACCGCTCTTCTCGGCCAAAGGCGCGGCAACAGAAACGACGATACCCATGCCAGACCCGGAATCAGAAAACGATGTTTTTGTGAACGGTCACGAGATTGTTCCCGACAACGATCCCAGAGCGAGTCTGAAATCGGCCCATTCATACATGACTGACTCGACTTTCACGGAGGAGGACGACGCACCAAGTGAAAAGTTTGATCACTATGGCCCTGCTCCAGAAGGAAGACAGGACCGAAGAGGATTGAGGGCAGCTCAGATGACGAAGAAAGAAGTGCGACTGATCAACGGAGAGCTGATTCTCGAGTGCAAGATCCCTACAATTCTCCACAGCTTTTTGCCCAGGAGGGATGAACGAGAATTCACACACATGCGATATACGGCAGTAACCTGCGACCCAGACGACTTCGTTGTGAAAGGCTACAAGTTGCGCCAGAATATTGGACCCACCATTCGAGAAACGGAGCTTTTCATCTGCGTTACCATGTATAACGAAGGCGAAATCGAGTTTACCAGGACAATGCACGGTATTATGAGGAACATCAGCCACTTCTGCTCGAGGACAAAATCTAGGACTTGGGGCAAAGACGGTTGGCAGAAGATTGTCGTTTGCATCATCGCCGACGGAAGACAGAAGGTCCATCCTCGCACGCTGAATGCTCTGGCAGCCATGGGAGTCTACCAGGATGGGATAGCCAAGAACATCGTCAACCAGAAAGAAGTCACCGCACATGTGTATGAATACACGACTCAAGTCTCGCTAGACGAAACCCTCAAATTCAAAGGCGCTGAAAAAGGGATTGTGCCGTGCCAAATGATCTTCTGCCTGAAGGAGAAGAATAAGAAGAAACTCAACTCTCACCGCTGGTTCTTCAATGCGTTCGGCCGTGCCTTGACACCCAACGTTTGCATCCTGCTTGATGTGGGTACCAAACCAGACTCGAAAGCGTTGTATCATCTCTGGAAAGCGTTCGATCAAGATTCGAATGTCGCTGGAGCAGCCGGTGAAATCAAGGCTGACAAAGGCAGGGGGTGGATGGGCTTGCTGAACCCGCTGGTCGCCTCACAAAACTTCGAGTACAAGATGAGTAACATCCTCGATAAGCCACTCGAGTCAGTCTTTGGCTATATCACCGTCTTACCTGGTGCACTATCAGCATATCGATACTACGCCCTTCAAAATGACCCGAGTGGCTATGGTCCTCTCAGCCAGTACTTCAAGGGGGAAACCCTGCATGGCCGTGACGCAGATGTCTTCACCGCCAATATGTACCTTGCTGAAGACCGAATTCTCTGCTGGGAGCTTGTTGCGAAACGTGGCGAACAGTGGGTTTTGAAATTTGTCAAAAGCGCTTATGGAGAAACTGATGTGCCTGGTAAGCGGAAAAGAAATAGACAAGTTGAGGGAATCTGGGCTGACCAACTGCAGATGCCGTTCCCGAGTTCATCTCTCAACGACGGCGCTGGCTCAACGGCGCTTTCTTCGCGGCAGTGTACTCGTTGGTCCACTTCAAACAAATTTGGCATACCGACCACACTGTGACTCGAAAGATCTTGCTGCATATCGAGTTCTTCTACCAGCTCATCTCACTTATATTCACCTTCTTCTCCCTCGCAAACTTCTACCTCACCTTCTACTTCATTGCCGGCTCCTTAGCAGACCCTCAGATCGATCCCTTTGGTCATAACATCGGGAAATACATCTTTGTCATCCTCCGCTATATTACGGTGCTGTTGATCTGTCTGCAATTCATCCTCAGTATGGGAAACCGGCCGCAGGGGGCGAAGAAGCTCTTCACCGGCACCATGGTCACATATTCGATCATCATGGCATACACCACCTTTGCATCTCTCTACATTGTCATCAAGCAACTCACAACGCACACGGTGGAAAAGACGGACCCAGACAATCCGTACAAGCTAGGCAACAACATCTTTACCAACCTCATTGTCAGCACGGTCAGCACCGTTGGCCTTTACTTCCTCATGTCATTTTTGTACCTGGATCCGTGGCACATGTTCACCAGCTCCGCGCAATACTTTGCCCTCTTGCCTTCTTACATTTGCACGTTGCAAGTGTATGCCTTCTGCAACACCCACGACGTCACTTGGGGTACCAAGGGCGACAATGTAATGCATACCGACCTCGGGACTGCCAAAGCAGTCGGGTCAGGTGGAAACACTGTGGAGGTGGAAATGCCCTCTGAACAACTTGACATCGATTCCGGATACGATGTCGCACTTCGCAACTTGCGGGACAGAGTCGAAGTACCCAAACAGCCCATCAGCGAATCCCAGTTGCAGGAAGACTATTACAAGTCCGTCCGTACGTACATGGTCGCGGTGTGGATGGTTTGCAATGCCATTCTCGCCATGGCTGTTTCCGAGGCTTACCCTGTGGGCAGCCACATTAGCGACAACGTCTACTTGAAACTCCTTTTGTGGTCCGTCGCCGCTGTCGCACTTTTCCGTGCCATTGGCTCCTCGGCATTTGGAATCATCAACCTCATCTCGGCAATTGTGGAGGGGAGGTTACAGGCCAAGTTTGAGAAGATCTTTGGTGGCGGAGACGAGAACGGTCGACATAGGGCTGGGTTAGGAAGCGGAATCAGTGAGAGTGGCAAGACAGGATTGAGTGGCGGGAGTAAAGGGAGTGCCACAGGAATCAGTTTGAGTGAAGTGACGAGCAAGATCTCGGAGAAGTTTAGCTGGATGAGCAGGAGATAATAATGCCCGGATGTTTATGGGACGGAAACAGACGATTGGATGTGTTTTGAAACGAGGTGGGCGCGTTATGGTTTATGTATGACAATGGACTTGTATGATTTGTTTGCTGAGGGTTTGGGGGACAGGGGGGAGTAATGCACCGCATGCTTGGAAAGAAGAGAAAAAGTTCGGATACTGTCGTTTTGAATTTTGCTGTACTGTAAAACACTAGAAAGAAGAGAAATAAGAGGATTCGGTATCAATAGTGACAGAAGACTCCAGAGTTATTGACTTGTCCTCGGCAGCAGCGGCGGCGGCAGCAGCAATAACAGCAGTAGCAGCCTGGAAATCAGGGCTTCAATCGAGGTACCATACGGATGACGCGATCTATATAGGGATCAGGAACAGACTGCCAAGCCACAAGGATAATACACCACATCACGGCCTGTATGAACTTACTTGGCCGTGTTCTTGGCCCTCTCGGAACAAGGAAATATTACTTATAGGTAACCTCTCAGGGTTCAAGTTTCAACGAAGGGTTCAAGTAGAGGAAAGGAGGGAGGATATGGACGGGCGCAGAGTGGCAGAGGGATATCATATTGTTTTGGATTGGACCAGACTGGATTTACCTTGACGGGAATGGATGGATTGGAGTCTATTTAACTTGATACCCGCGCATGAGTATAAAGATCCATACCTACGTACGTAACCTTTCACTTAGCATGGTGAGATGGCCTGACTTGCTCTCCAAACAACTCTACCCTGCCCTGATCCCAAACCCATCCTGAGAAAAGACACACCTCTCGAAGGTGAGATAGGTTCGACGCACCTGTGTTGATATCAGAACGCCTCACCGTTTTCTTTTTTTGTAACAATATTCTTCCTTTTTCCTTTTTTTTTTGGCGCTTCTCTCTGGATCGGAGACAGTCTCCCCGCGGGGGGGGGG